TTCTGCAGTAGTTCCCAGGAGTTACAAGAATGGCTCGATCAGCTTCAGCCCTTCACCAAAGGGGGCAGCCCTGCAGGCACAATCTTGAAGGTTAGTACACACACACACACATGCACACACACACACATACAGTAAACACTCAACGCATTACCAAGAGTGAATCCTGCAACAAACCGAGATGTGAACATTACTCATCTCTTATTGCACGTACATTTCCCACACTTTTATTGTCCCATGCAGACTGTCGAAGGCAAGCCACTGAGCATGGTCGGCCCCCCCACTCACCTGTCCCACCTGGGCAGCCTCAGCGCCGTCAGCCGTGGCCCCCTGGAGCCCCCAAAGATCAGCAAGCCCTGGTCCCTCAGCTGTCTGCGCCCCGCACCCCCCCTCAAACCCTCTGCTGCTCTAGGGTACAAAGAGGTAGGAGGTTTAGCGCTGCACAAACAAACCCACACACACTTACTATGCATCTCCTATAAGCAGTCATCATTTTTAGTCAGAAACCACAAGACATCTACCTCATCTACCACCTCTCTGTTTCCCCTTATGTTTATTCAGATCTCCACTGACCTGTTTTACACAGAAATATGCAAGCATGCAAAAAATTACACAAGTGATGTTGACCTATATACCTTTAAAGTTTTAATTAGAGACTAATTTATAGTATGTTTAATTATTAGACATACTATAAATTGACACATATTCAACAATGAAATGCATTCATACTCCGACTTTACAGAATATATAGTTGTGTAAATATTCTGTGAAACGCGGGATTACCTGTAGACATAATTTGTTAGATGCCTATAATTTACTTTTGTATCAAAGTAGCTTTCAGTGTGTAGAGTTATTCATATTGAATCACTTATAATTTGAGTTCTTTTCATCAAAGCGATCAAATATGTACTATTCCTTAGTAACGTTTAAACGTGTACCAAAAGGTAGACTACCTATGCTCTAAAAACATTTGACTGTGGCGTGATGACAACAGGAAAACCCATTTATAGATCAGTTCTTTGCACGTCATTTATGCTAATTAAAAAACATGGCCACTGTTAAGCAGCAGCAAAAACTATTATTGTTACAATAATTTATGCATATAGTGGAACAAATTAAAAACCACTTTGGGTGTGTCTGAGTCACAACAAGAGATGATTATTACCTCATGACGGCCCTTTCACAGCAGCGTCCCTGAATGGAACAGGGCCATGAACAATGACATTAATAACACATGTGAGGAAATGGCTGCCGAGAAAACGAGCTGTTCTGGTGAATCCAGCATGATCACCAACTCTGTCGGGCATTGAGTCTACTGGTGTTTTGAGCTATGAGTGGTATGGTTGTCACTTGGTGGTTGATGTGGGAGGTAGAAGCTTTACAGTGATCGTCAGTGCTTTTATAGTTTCAGTAAGCACGGACAGTCTAGTCATTGGTTGAATATATGTCTACACTAAACATGCATTAAGTTTGATAAGCTGTAATTGAACAAATATTGCCACAAACATTTACTTCTAAAGTGAATATTGTCCACCTATCAATGAGAAAATAACCAAGCATGCGTGTAGCAAATGGCTCTTATTTTCTTGCATGCATCAAAACTTTCTTTCCCCATATGTCCCTTTTTTCTACAGGAAGTAATCAACCTATTTTGCTTATACAAAAAGAATAGGTGAATGGCAGATGGGGGTGTAAAAATGATCACTATTAACTCTCTATCACACCCTTCTCTCGTTGTATTTTTCATGCACATTTCCCCTTTTTCTCTTTCTCCATCCTGCCTTCTGTAGAGGATGTCTTATATCATGAAGGTAAGGTTAGAACTCACTCTGTTTCTATCTGTGTGTGTGTGGGTAAGGATGTGGTTTGGGTGGGGGCGGGTGAATGGGGTTACCTGTGTGTGTTGAGCTGGCATGCCTTTGCTCTATTTGCTTCACTCTTCTCTCATTGTCATCTGTTGGATTCCTGTTTTCTGTGGCCCTGCGTGTCTGCTCTTTTTTTTTCCTTTCTCTGTATCGAGTGTCTCTGACCATGAATTGCATCAGTTTTAAAAAAGAAACCTTCCTCAGGTGACTTGTACGTTTTACGGCTACAAAAAAGTCCCAGTGGTGCATTTCATCCCACTACTCTCTTTCCCTGCATCTCCTCTATCTCTCAAACATCACTATGACATATCAAGATATTAAAGTGTTAAAGAGGATTGATTACATGTTTTTGGAGAAACTTGGAGCTGCAACGTTTTCCAATGATGTGCCATTGTATTACAATGATCTACGTTCATTATTGGCAAAGCGGTTTTTTAAACATAACTCCAAATGAATGTTTCTCTGTGTCTTCTGGATATGCAGGCAGATGTTCAACATGCTGGACAATCAGCTTTAATAAGCAATAATATGACAAGCCCTTGTGTCGGTCAGCTTATTTTGAAGGTCATCTGCTGCCAAGTGGCTGTAAACCCTAAATTGCGGGTTTAAAGTGACATGGCTATTACAGAGCTGTGCACCGAGCGTTATGAACTCCATTAAGGTCATCAAACGCTGCTAATCTTGGCACGGAAATGAATTACACAGCAACCTATTTAACCTCCCACTGTTGAACACGATGAGTGCACACACACGTCAGTAAAATGCCCGAGCGCCTGTGTTCATGTGAATCTCTGAGTCCCTAAACAGGTTTTGAGAAACACGATTATGACATCTCAATTACTAATCTTGAATTTCGTGAGCAGTCTGTGGAGTTCCAGGATGCCCTATAAATGACCAAAGCAGGCAATTGCTTCATATCTAGTTCGTCTTGACTAAATCGCTCCATTCCAGCGAAAGACATGGGGATAAATGACGTAATGAATGGTGTTAATATAAGATAAGAACACGCTATTCATATGCTACAAATAACAACACATCTGCTAAGGAGTCATGCTGATGTGGCGTTGCTCAGACTTAATTTAGGGATTTATTTAATCACACCTCAGCTTTTAGTGTGCTCAGGGGAGGCAACAGGCATTGCACCAGTCTTCAAACACTCAAATGAACCCAGCAGCAACAGCAGCAAAAAAAAACATTATTGTTGTTTGTAGCAAATAATGTAAACAAATCTCAGCTTTCTTGGCTTTGTGAACACTGTTTCCCAAAGGTAAAGCATTTGTGACAGTAATCGGTGTTGGGTAAAAATGTTACAATTATTAAACAAAGATGTAAAATGTTCCTTTATGCTTCATTGAGAGGATTGATTTTAGCATAGGTAGATTACTCAGCTGGCTTTGTCCCAGACCAAATGCTTGCTGCCTTGTTTGTTGATGGAATTTAGTTCTAATGTTCTGTGTTCATAAGGGATGCGCGTCCCTGTAAGCTTGCATTCTGTTTTGGTTTGGAGCCTTGGCTTTACAGGTGTGTGTGTGTGTGTGTGTGTGTGTGTGTGTGTGTGTGTGTGTGTGTGTGTGTGTGTGTGTGTGTGTGTGTGTGTGTGTGTGTGTGTGTGTGTGTGTGTGTGTGTGTGTGTGTGTGTGTGTGTGTGTGTGTGTGTGTGTGTGTGTGTGTGTGTGTGTGTGTGTGTGTGTGTGCAGCGGTGCGGAAAGAGTGCGTCCCTCAGGTGCTCCTGCCAGAGGAAGAGAAGATCATTGTGGAGGAGATGAAGAGCAATGGGCAGACCGTTATTGAGGAAAAGTAAGCATATGATCACCTCTAAAAATACATTTTCATTTGTTGGCAGAGACTTTTCATTATTTTTTTTTGGATCCTGATTTTCTCTGTAATCAGAAAGATGATATTCATCTTGGGATTGAAAACCGCCAGTAGAACCTTGATATCCAAATAGAGTTTTTACCCGGTCAAGGGAAAAATAGATATTGATATCGTCCAGCAGGACTTACTTTTCTCTATTTGTTTCAGGAGCCTGGTCGATGCCGTGTACGCTTTAAAGGATGAGGTTCATGAACTGAAAAAGGTTTGTGTGAATTTAGTTTGACTAATGTTCTGAAGTTGTTGAGTGTACTAGAGCCGCAGCAATTTTAGTTTTAACACTGACATAAATTAAACAAATCTAATGACAAATGAATTGGATTTCATTCTTTCTTTTTGTTTATTAAGAAATTATTTATTTAGAATTGTTCCTTTTATATATATATATTTTTTTTTTTCAACAGAATATAAATAATAATATGGCAAAACATAACAGATAATACAAATAATTAAAAAACAAAACAAAAGAAAAGCGTTTTAATGGAAATAAAAACCCTATTTCTATTTTAACACTAATTGATAAAAAGTATACAGAAAATATCCACAAATAAAACACTTATTAGGGCATCATTGAATAGCATGCCAACATACATGCACTTTATTTTTTTGTCCATTTATTGAACATGTCAGAAACAAAACATCCAGCAATAATATTAACATATATACTTTCTTTATTTCTTATAGTAATAATTATAACAAAGAGAAAAAAAAGAAAAGGTACAAAGAAAAAGAAAAATAATTCTCAAATATTCTCTGTCATGTTCAACAGGGGCAAGAAGAAGCTTCTAAAAACGTTTCTGGTCCCACCCCCTCTAGCGTACATTTTTCTTCAAAATAAAAGATTAGGTCAGCGTCATCAGCTTCATGTTGTAAACACATGTTTTTTTTTTATTGTTTTTTTTACAAAACAATCAACAAGAAACAACTTACAATTTCAAGAAAACAACAAATATGAGTTTACAGGTCCTCCTCATAACCATTCAGATTTGGCTTCTAAATAATAGTTTTAGTTTTAGATACACTTTTACAATCTTACTGTTATTCCACAGATCACTTCACTTGTCATGATCTTAAATCAGCCAAACATGCCTGCCTTCTGAAGTTTCCCAGCTGTCTGTAGTGTACACTTTGCAAGCTATAGCCATTAAATGCTTCCATTGCCCGTGTGTTTCACAGGAGAATAAGTGGATGAAGCAGTTTCTGGAGGAGGAGCAGAAATCTCGCAAGGAGCTGGAGAGAGTGGTTCGAAAGCTGGCCAAGCAGAAGAACGATTGTGCTTGGGACGACGGCGCCCACTGAACGCATTCACACACTCATCCTCATCCCAGTGTGTGTATGTGTACATTTATGTAAGCGTGCTTGTGGAGGATCAGGTGTGCGCGCGTGTTTCTCTCTATGTCGCATCTCCCATATTACAGCAGTGAGTTTAAACCCCCCACCCCCCACCCACTCAAGACAATGCTGTTGTTTTTGCTTCAAGTCCTGCTGGAGCTTGATTTGACATTTACATTGAAATCTGTCTTCCTGATCTAACCGCAGTACATGAGACCACAGATGTGCTTCTGCTTCTTCATGAAGCAGCTCAGCTAAACAAAGACTGGCAGGGCGGGTGTTTCAAACATACTGCCTCTTGGCAACTGGCTGTGTGAACTCGGCCCCGACAAATGGAACCATTTTGGACAAGGACAAAAAGTACTTCTGCTGCTTCCTTTGCTTCAGTCTGAAAAAGAAAAGGAGTTCAGAGCCATCAAGCCCAATAGGAGTTCACTTGCATGCACAAGGACTGTTTTTATTCTCCTCATACCACAACTTATTTTGTCTTTGTCAAAAGGACAAGCAGGAAAATTGATTGATTGATTTTTCAAAAGAATGTGCGATTGTTATTTTTGTACATTTACATTGACAATTTCCGGGCCTTTTTTGGAGGTGTTTAAGCAATTCAAACAGGTTAGATCATTATGCTACATTCAGTTTTTTTTCCAAATGCAGCCTTCAACTGTTCATTTAAAAACTGCATGTGGTTCTACAGTTTAAATTCTGCATCAGAAATGTGATAATCATGATATTCAGATATATAGTCCAAAGCTATCAGGGATGCAGCTTCATATTATATAATAGAAAAGGCTTCACTATGTATCATTTCTATACAAGAGTACACAAATATTGACAGATGCCACCCTTGCTCTCTTTAATAAAAATATATTCAAGTATAATTTGAACATAATTACATAACCGTGCTTTATTTTAAAGAGTATTTATTTTTCACCCAAGCATTTAATTGTGGTGTTAGCCTTATAGATCAACTGTTGCTGCCTTTACACCCGTTTGGAATTTTATTAAACTTAATTGATACGTAAATGCAGGAAAGAAAATACAAGGGAAATGGTCATTATTCATCATAAAAAAGGAAAATGACTCGACTAACGACAACAAATGACTAATAATGAGTCTGACTGTAGATTTCAGAGCAGCCTGTTTGTGGCCTGTTAACATAGAGCTGATAACAACAGGAAATACAAAGAGAGATTTATTTGTGGGTGTAGAGCTCAACTGTTTAAGTGCCTCCCGAAGGGGTCCATAGACTAAAGTTTAGGACCAGACTGGGACTAAATGCATGATTTATATTGAAAGTGTCACAGGTGGTTTGTTGTAATATTTCAATAAGAATGTCTCAAGCTTAATGGGAATATATTGGGTCTGAAAAACATGCAGGGCTTTGCATGCTTTTTTTGAGATGCAGCGTCTTCACAAAGGCCCACAGCGGTACATTTCCTCATGAGGTTGAGTGTGTGCTCTGTCATCTTCTCTCGCTGCAATGGATGCTAAAGATGCAATAAGTGATTGCTTAACTGGCCGACCTCTGGGTACGTGCCAGCATGGTAGGCCAGATTTGGAGAAATTGCAATAACAATGAATGAATTAACCCAGTTTATTAACCAAAAAGAGCCAGACTGTGTTGTTAAGCCACCACACAGGTAGGCGTTCATTATCTGCCTTTATTTAATCAAGTCTGTTGGTATTGATGATTGTTTTTTTGCTCATGTCCAGGTCCCAATTTTCATCACCAATGATCCAAAATGTAATAATATTGTAATAATGTACAATCCCTGTTGGGAAGTGCTGAGCTGGGAGGTCAGAGCAGTGTGTAGGGTACCAGGCAGCCCCTCTTACATCTGCAGCACAGTTAGTGTTTTGCTCAAGGGCACTTTCCTCAGCAAGGAAAAAAAGCTGATCTTGAATAGTTTTTTCTCAATAGGAAGCCCAGTTGGCAGCCAGATTCTCTCCAGCGTTACGGAGACTCTGCTTCCTGTACAGATGTTTGCCATGTCTTATATGTTCACTTTTATGATTAACATTGCTGTTCTGCACCCTAAATAGTTTTCGTCAAGTACCACATACTGTCTTTTTTCAATTCCCAAAAGCCTCAGCGAGCACTTACTGGTGTTAGGGGGTTGAACTTCGGTTTCATCTTGTTAATCTCCAGACCACTGTGTGTATTGTTTTTTAAAGGTTCTATGCAATCATTGTTGTTGCAAGTATTGTTATGTTTTTTTTTCTTCTAGACACTCTGTACTTTGTGTTTGGTATGGTCATTCTTTTATTAAAATTGTAATATAATACATGGAGTTTGACATTCATTTCGCCAAGTGGGAACAGTCAAACATTTCTTAACCTCACAGCATGAGCTGCATGTTCACTCATTCTGGAAAATCCAGAGCCGGTTTTTCTCATGTAGCATTTTTCATTTCTGTGGTTCAGGAATTTGTAGGTTTTTCAGATTTTGACAGAAAGAAACCCTTTACAAGATGGAAGGAGTGACTAGAATAGACGACATCCTGTGAGAGCGTGCCGCCTCTGCAATGATACACACCTCCATAGAGATTCACACTTTCCATGCTGTTCCACTCCTTTGCACAGCTTTTGCTTTTGATGGGTAAGGGGTACAACCATTTTTTTACATTTCTCACCTAATCACATATTAGTCATCAGGCTGGTTACAGTTACATGGAACTCATACATGTAGGCTTTTATGTATCCGGTTAATTAATTAATAAAAAAGTTCTCAAACGTACATGTGCATTTGAACAGGACATTAACATGTTCGTGTTTTAGCCTATTTACTACAAGTTATGAATAACTGACATTATTGATACTTTCAAACCAGGCTGCATTTTCTCCTGCTTTTTGGCCGAAAGGTCGAAAATCAATTGTATGCAGTTTAAAATCAAATAGCCCTCTTGATTTGTGTAATCAATCATAATGAATGTACAGTCCATATTCATTATTATCATTGTGAGGGAGTGTCTATATTCTGCATGTAAAGTGTATCACCACATGATACATAAATGAAACCTGTGGGTTTAATGTGAATGGATTTCCAAACTCAAACAAGTTTCATAAGTTTGGTTATTGACTCGCATATCACATGGAAATGAATGGGAACCAATGGCTGTCAGGATAGAAAGAAATATTCAAAAGTGGAAAGTCTGTAGCTTTCTTTGGAAAATGTTCAGCAGTACAGTTACATCTATATGATTTGTAATTATTGTGTGGTCCTTAGAATAATCAAATGTGGACACTGCGTTTATTTCAATAGAGAAGATAACTGACTTGTAGCACTGAAAACAACAAATGTATTGTTTCTTTACTTAAATGAATAAACATAAACAATGACTGTCAGTCCTGAGTCTAATAACAGACCCTCGATTGGTAACCAAGCTGAGTGCTCTTGTTTCTTGTGGCTTAGCTTCATGAAAAAATGCATCTTTCCAATGTGGCTTCTCATTGCAAAACTATAGTGGTATACAGACTGCGCTAGATTTAAAATGCAGTGTGTGTTGCACTGTTCAGAGTGTGGTGAAGAAGTTTGGTTTCTGAGTAGCCTGTGAAGGACCATTTTGTGAATTTCAAAAGAATGTGATAGTCTTTGATCTACTACTACTTTAAATGTGTTATCACCTGATCAGCTGTTGTAATTCCGATTATTCAGGACTAAAACTGAGTTTCAGAAATAGATAAAACGTCTACACCAGAAACCTGCAGGTCCGCTGCAACTCTGACTACTTTTACATCCAGGCTGAAGACTTTTCTTTTTGCCGCTGCTTTTAATTGAACTATTCATATCTTAAACTGCACTGTAACTTTCATTCATGTATTTTTTTCTTTTAATGTTTATTTTATTATCTTTGCTTTTTAATGACCGTTTTTAAATGCCTCTTCTTTCATTCTTGTAAGGCACTTTGAATTGCCTTTGTTTTGAAAGGTGCCTGCCACATCTTTCCTTTACACCGATTTAAATATTTTGCATTTTCCTGAATGTTCCGGACCGGCTATTTTGGTCCAATGTGGGCAGACCAACATAACTTCTAACTCATGAAAATAAAGCAGATGAAAAAGAGAAGACATCTTTAGAATTAAATATCAAAGTTTCATTTCACAGCCATACAACATCGTTTACAATAATAAATACAGAACAATCTTCCACATCGTTGCAATAAAAAAAAAACACAACTAAATCTGATTTAATAAATTATATTTTAGGAAAGGTCTCTAGGAAGATCAGAATCCATTGGTTTGATAATTGATCCAGTCTATTTAACAGTGTTCTCTGTAGATTTAAATCCAAGTACATCCACTTAGGTCCAGGGGTCCTACAGTCTGAAAATCCCAAAGGTTGTGGCCCCGTCCTCGTAGGACACCACTGAAAGGTTGTGTAACCAGACACCGAGCTGGTTCCCTTTCTCCAGTGTGACCAGCTCTCCCTGTGTGGCCGTGGACAGCTGAGGCGCACCGCTGCTGTCCATGTTGCAGAACGCCTGCATCACTGTCTTCTCCTTTCCCTTCTCACTCTCCCTCAGCTTCACGATGCTGACCAGCGGCCGCTTTGGGTCGAGCTTGGAGAAGGTCACCCTGGAGTAGACGTAGTAGTCGCCAGGCTGCTCGATGGTCAACCACATTTTGTGGGAGTAACTGACGCTCTTTAAAACTGAGTGGCCCATATCCCACTCGAGATAACCCGCTGGAGAGACACAGGGAGAAGTTTAAGTAACATATATTTTAACCATCTAAAAATTATCTTTACTGCATTTCATATATCCAAAAAGTATGTTGTTTTTAATATCCCTTACCTCCTTTCTGATCTGACTTCTTGACTACCATGCGGGCCAGGGCTTTGTTTGATGTTTCCTGCTTTCCTGATGAGCGATGGGCAGCTGGGGAAGAGAACAAACATCTGATCAGAGACACAGGCGAGATTGCACATTTTTATGCAACCTACTAAACATTGTTAATATTACTTTCAGGAATAGATTAATTCAATTAACATACTTTTTCCTTCTGCTGATGGGAGCTGGGATGGATGCTGATGGGAGAAAAAAAAAGTAGTAGATCAGGAACAAGCAGTACAATATGATGAATTTCTAAAGATTCTTATTGCAAATGTTTAATATTCATAATTAAATGTTGAGATATTTTTTGTTTGCAAAACGCTCATTTGTAACACGTGACTGCGCTGTGAATATCACACTTCACTTGTTTGTTCAAGAGCATTTCCTGTTGCAGTTTCATTGACATGCTGGTTATATTTTTACACTGATGTGACAGATCTATTTCAATACCATTGAATTAATCTGAAATAAGAATTTAAAGATCTATTTTTTTTTTTTAATAGAACAGAAAGAGTGTTTACACTAGTTTTAGATTTATTTTAAAGGACTTCAAACTTTTACCGTTATATAGTAAGTGCAAAGTAAAACATGTTTAATTGTAATGTATTGAAACATTGCTATATAATATCTGTAATAAAACATGTAGCAATGCCACCAACTATTAGTACATTTAAAAAAAATTGTCCTTTTATTTTACCATTGTGTCATTTTGCTTCAGGTAGATGAATCCTCCGACTGAAAGGAATAAGTGCAGCACCACTACACCGGTCAGGAACCTGAGGAGAGACTTGCTGTGGCCTTGTGATGGAGCCGGGAAGAGGACCTGTTGGGACCGGCTGAGGCGTGGAGGCACCGGCGGTGCAGCAACACTGGTCTGGTAAGTGTTGATCATGGTGGAGAGAATTGCTGAATCCTGAAGGAGCCCAGGCTCTGTGGCATCCCATGCACTTCTGAACACTTGCACTCAAGCAACTGAGTTTGTTTCACGCTACTTCCTGGAAGTTCTGAGGTACAGATCTGTGACTTCTGGTTTATGTGTGTGTGTGTGTGTGTGTGTGTGTGTGTG